GCATGGCACTGTCCTTGCTGTCCCCAAGGCTCATTCCTGGATGTTTGCTCTTCCAGATGCACTCGGGTGGCTTTGGGGGAGGATCTGCAGCCACCGGGATCACAGAGCCCAGCTGAGAGTGAGCCAGACCTGAGCAAAGGTGGATGCAAGGTGGGAAAGGCTGGTGGCACTGGGGGTATCGGTGCCCTGATGCCACCCTGGCTGCAGAGGGGCTGGGGAGGTCCCTGCATCCCCTGGCTGGCAGCCTGATGTGCATTTATTATTGATGAAGCCAAACACGGTGAATTATTGATGCTGATGAGCAAAGAGAGCCAGAGCGGGTGCTGCACAGAGGGGCTGTCCCTGCAGGAGAGGGCACCGGCTGTCCCATGAGCAGTGGCTGCGGGCATCAACCCCCATGGAGGGGAGGAGAAGGAAAAGTGTGTTCCCAAGGGGGAATTTAACATCTAAATCCCAGTGACACTGTCAGAAGCAGCCCCCTTAACTCCCCAAACAAGCCCTTCAAGCGCACCCGGCGGATTACGGGCGCTTTGCTGGCAACCCCCGTGAGAGAGAATTAAACAAAATAAGGGACGGAGGCAGGCTGGGAACACAGGTCTCCTCCTCTGTGGCTTTTATCATTCCCTGTGTTTGGAGAAGTCAATGCTGCATCCTCCTCAGACACCCCACGGACCCCAACACGCGTGCTCCCGGGGGCTCTGCTGAGAGCTGCCGGCCGGTCCTGGCCCAACACAGGGCTTGTGGGTTTCCCCGAGGAAAAACCAGCCTGCTTGTTCCAGGCGGGTGATCTGGGTAATGGTTTCCTTGGCAAAGCCGGAGTGGCTTATCCGGGGAGCAGTGCCAGCTCTCGGGACAGCAGCCAGCCCTTGATTCTTGCCTGGTTCTGCCGTGGACAGTGGCCCAACCTCCGTGCAAGGCTCCGGGTGCTGAACTGGAGGGACTGAAGATGCAGCAAAGCCCATCCTGGGTTCTTCTCCTCGCTGCTGGCTGCGGAGCAGCCCAGGGACTACCCTCAACGTGGGGCACGGTGGTCCCAGCTCCCTGTGGCTTGGTGCTGGCACTGGCGATTCCTCTCCTGGACCCGAGCACATCCATGGAGGATGCGGCTGCCCTGGAGCTTCCCAGCAGCCTTCTGAGAACCGTGCTGAGCAGCCGTGCCACCCGCTGGACTCCCTTCACTCCTCCCAGGATTGGGGGCCCCATCTAAGCCGATGGGCAAGAGCAGGAGGTCTCAGAGCCCTGGGAAGCAGAAGCCAAACCCAGATCTCGTTGGCAAGGCGCTAGTCTGCTCTGCTGAGCCACACTTCCAGATGGGCGGTGAGCCCGAAGAGCTGGGTGGTGCTCAGCTGCCTCTTGCTGTTTTTGAGCACCAACTTGGTGCCAGGCCTGAGCTGCTCTTGAGCTAGTAATGCTGAACAGAGGGATGGAGCAGGAGGAAACCCAGCAGGGAGAGGGGAAACCAGGCAGACCCTGAGCCTTGCAGTCCCTGTGAGCACGGCTGCGAGCTCTCCGCAAGCTCTGCCTGCGGCTGGCAGGCCACATCCTGCACCTGCACTGGGTACAGGTCCCCCAGGCTCAACCTGCGAGACCTGGATGTGATTCTGCCTCTGATTTCTATAAAGCCTGGCTTTGCGCTGCGCCTCCATTTCACAAGGTACTAATGATCTCTGTATGGATTATAAACAGGACTTCTGGCCAAACTGCCTCGACATTGATTAACTTCTCAGGATTAACTCAATTAGTCCATCCTGTTCATTTCCAGAATTGATTTGCTGGAAGGCTCTGGCAGGCAGGAGCTCTGCAGGCAGATCCAGGAGCCCAGGCTTGGGCTTCCAGCTGCTTTCCAGCCTCATCAGATCTGGGTACGAGCCCAGATCCCACTGCAAAGAGGGGATATTCAGCAGGGCAGGGCCTGGCTCCCTGAGCTGAGACGCCTCCGCTCGGATACGCCCAGGCCGGAGCTCGTGGCAGTTCCTGACTGAGAAAACATCACCCAAATCCCACCAGCGAGCGCAGCCCAGTCGAGCCTTTCAGTGGGAAATGGTGGGATGGGGGGGTTAAGCAACTCGCCCCGATGTCAGGCTTCGGCTGAGGGGCTGGGAGGCAACGCACGCCTGTCTCCCACCTCCCACGCGCCTCCTCGAACCCACTGCACCGTCTGCCGCGGCTGATGCAGCCAGAAACATCAAGGGATGTTCCCTCCGCAAGATGAAAAGGGCTGAGAATGAAACCAGATGGATGCAAAGAACTTTGCAAAGATGCTGGTAACCATGGTGATGAGCTGTTTCACCCCCCCCCACCCCCCCCAGTCATCCCAGCTCCCTTCCATCGTCACCCCCAGCAGAGAGCGAGATTTCGGCACCGGTTACATAAGGCCAGGCACAACAATGAGTCAGGCGCAGCAGGAACCTGCTGTTGGCCCCGTGTCCCGTGAGGCCGAGGACACGGTGCAGGCTTGGGAAGGTGGATGGCATCGCCCCGAGCTGATCCCCATGTCCTGGTCCCCCCCAAAATCACAGCTGTCCCCAGGAAACTGCTCCCAGCAGAGAGGGGACGCTCGAGGGATGCTGGAGATTAATTCTGGGAGGATGATTTATTGTCCAGGTCCAGACCTCATCCCTGAGTGTCCGTGTGGGGTTTTCCAGCTTCACCCTCCCCACCGCTGCAGAGAATAAGCCAGCTGGGGAAAAACAACTTACTGACCTACTTCAGGCTGCAGCGCCTCACCTTGTATACACTAGCGGCACCATGTCACAGCTGGAGAAAAATGGGACGAGACGCGATGTGGCAGGTGGAGGATGGAAAGTCTGATGGGGTAACGTGACAGGAAGCCATGTGGGGCTGACATACAGCCTGTGGGGCTGACACAGAGCCCATGGGACTGACACGCAGCCCGTGGGGTTGACACAAAGCCCATAGGGCTGATGCAGAGCCCGTGGGGTTCACATGCAGCTCGTGGGGCTGACACGCAGCCCGTGGAGTTGACACAAAGCCCATAGGGCTGACACAGAGCCTGTGGGGTTGACATGCAGCCCATGAGGTTGACACGCAGCTCGTGGGGCTAACACAGAGACTGTGGGGCTGACACAGAACCCGTGGGGCTGACACGCAGCCCGTGGGGTGGTGTATCAGGGCAGTGCTCACACCACGTCCACCTCAGGGATGTGACAGCATGGCACGGGCATGCTTACAGCCACGCTGGGATGGGCCAGCCCAGCTGGCTCTTCCCTTGCCATCCCTGGTCTCCCCTGGCCCAAACAGCCTCATCCGGTGGTGGTTCTGGCCCTGCTGGGTCCCTGCACACAGGGCTGGAGACAGCCGGTGTCCCCAACATCCAGGGTGCTGGGAATGACAAAAATCTCCTCCTCCTGTCCCGTCCCTGCCGGGGAGACCTTGAATCATGGGCAGGAGCACTCCTCCATGACAGCTCCCAGAGCAGCCGTGAGCCCGTCCCTGCTGAGAGAAATCCTGGGAACCATTTGGCCCCAATAAACGAGCCGAGAGCATCATTTACTGCAGGGGCAGCATGAGCAGGAGCCAGCGCCGGAGCCGACAGCAACAAACCTCCCCATCACCACCCAGCACCTCCATTCCCCTCCCTGCACAGAGCCCTGGGCCCTCGTGGGAAGTAGCAGGGACTTGATATCTGCTAATTCCTTGCAAATCCTCAGAGGAGAGATGCCAGAGAGGAGCGTGAGATGTGCTGCAGCCAGAATCCGACCTGCCATAATAATTTGTTCAGCTCTAATCCCTTCCCTCCGGGGCTCACGAGTATTAATGATGACACACGACACTCCTGAGGAATGGGCAAATATTATTATGCTCTTCCCAGCCCTCCCCCAGTCATTCACTCTCTGCAAAGTGGAGAAAATGCAGCATCGAGAAACACATAAAGAGAACGTCTGTTTAAGCACCAATCTCAGATAATGTGCAAGAAAATGTTTATGCCGCTTAGTCTCAGTCCTGCAAAGCAAACTTCCCTCTGGGGGAATGTGAAAAAGCCACTTCAGCTGGTGGCAAGCACCTGGATTTACTCTGTTACGCCTGGCCTCCCACTCCTGATACAATTATAGCAGCTTTATCAGGACAGTCAGGAGTAAGTAGTCAGGAAAGCTTTATCGGAGGTACAAATAGAAAACCAAGGAGGCAGCCCTGAAATCCTCAGCACAGGCAGGGATGCAGCAGCCTCCCAGGAGGGGGAGGAGCGGTCCCCAGGACTTCACCTGGGGGCCCGCAGGACGCAGACAAATCGCATTCAGTCAAGAAACAGCAGGGCAGGGAAAGCAGAGCGTCTGCAAGACACAAGGCAGCCTGGAGCCGCGTCTGGCTGCCTGCCACACGTCTCTCTTTAGGAAGGAAGAAGACCTTGAGAAACAAAAGATTATGCAATGCACAGTGGAGTAACCTGTGCCTGACCTCTGGGACCAAAATCCCGCTTAACCTCCCTCCGTTTCCCAAACCTTCTGGATTTCCACGGGGGAATCATCCCCCCTGGTCCCACTGCACAGCCGTTAAAAAAAAAAAAAAAAAAAAAAAAAAAAAAAAAAAAAAAAAAAAAAAAAAAAAAAAGCCGGTTGGTTTCATCTGGCAGCAAACGTCCTCCAGCAGCAAGCTGGAAGAAACCATTGCAAGGAGGCAGGAGAAGAAGAAAAAAAACCCTGCCCCCTCCGCTGGGCAGCGATGCGTGCAGGTGCCCCCTCGGTCTCCAACCGAAAATCCAAGCAGATTTGACACCACATAGCAACAGCAAGTCTTCGGGCAGAGCCAGCAATCATTTACTGCAATTGCATCACAACAGAAGCCGTCCCTTAAGTTTTATCACTGGGCAGCTTTTTATAACCCCGCGCTCAAAGCATGCGGAATAGAACAGGGTTATTTAAGCGCAAGCAATGCCGTGCCGCTGCGAGGCTACCGTCTCCCCTTCTCTCCCCGCAATCCCATCTAACGCCTCTCAAATCCCTTCCCGTTGTCAGCTTCGGAAAAAAAATAAAACCAACAACCCACAACATCTTTTTGGCCATTTTGCTCCCCGTGCAGAGCACCTTCCTCCCCTCCACCTCAGCACATGCCCTACACCACAGCCTGTGCTCCGAGTCCTCCGCACAAAGACAGAGAGAGACAGAAGAGGATGCTCACCTCATTTATTGACAAGGATTGTCAGGAGTCGAGGTTGCAAATGAAAGGCTTAAATCTTGCAGGAGGCAAAGGGGGAGAGGAAAAGATGCCTGAGGCAGCAGGAGCCTGTGCAGGATGCAGGGTGCCAGCACTGGCAGGCTGCTCAGATCTTCAGCTCCTCCGATTACATTTTTTTGCCTGTCTGGTGGGAAGGATGGAGCGATGCCTTCAGCTCAGCTCATCTGCTTTAGACCGAAATCTCTCCTTCCATCTTCTCCCCACGAGCAGCTTCATAACTGAGCTCTGGGGTTTGGGGGTGCTATTTGTCCTTGTAGTCTATAGCCATAGAAAGCCCCTTAAATCCCTCCTAAAGAGGAGGGCTCTCGGTGTGACAGACAAGGAGACTTGCCAGTCAAAGCAAGACCCAGCGCAGCCCCACCACCCGCCCATGGGAGCCTGCCAAGGAGCCAGGGGAGCCAGAGGACTCACCCTGGTTTTTTGCTGCTTCCAGTGAGACGAGTTACCGGGTTCCTTTTCTTACCTTTTACCATTTTTGTCGCCATTCTGGTATTTGTGGCTTCCCAGAGGCCATGAGCGTGTCGGTGTCACGAGCGTGTCGGAGCTCAGCATGGGTCACCATGCTCTGAGAGCATGAACATGCAGATCCCAGGAGCCAGGACAAGGAGGACGAGCGTAAAATCACCAATGTCTTTTGGGTTTATTTTCAAAGCTGTGGGCTAGGGAGAGCTGGAATCGCATCCCCTCACCCCAACGGGCTGACTTCTGGCGGGAACACACCAAACAGAAAAACCCTGGAGCTGGTGCCTGCTCTTGGCGGTACAGCTGGGCTTGACTCCAGCAAAGCAATTGGAAAGGATCCCTTCGATGTTCAGAGCAGACAGAGAGGAGGACTGAGATCCTGCGGGTTACTGCTCGCTCACTCTCTGACCACCCAGCTGTCCCTCCTCATCTTCTTCCACCTCTTCTTCCTCCTCCTGCACCTCATTTTTCTGCCTTGTAAAACACACACAATCACATTCACCTTCTCAGGAATGGGCGGAGGCTGAGCCTTTCTGTAGGTGCCTTGGCACATCCTACACGATGCTGCTCTATCTACATATAGATGTGTATGTGAGAGGATGCAGGCAGTCTGAGAGTCTGGTCGCACCAGTTTACCCTCTTGCCCAGCGGCGGTGCCCACTGGGGCTTCCAAGAATGAGTGCCTGTGCTCCACACTGCTTGTCGTGGCAATTTGGAGGGCAGGCAGGGCGCACCCCTCACGGGTGAGGAGGGCGGGCCGGGAGGGCGGCGGCTCAGGGCCCGGTGGTGGCAGGGCCCTGGGCCTGGCCCTCCCGTCCCGGAGGGGCCCAAACATCAGCAGAACCACCCCGGGTGCAGTAAATCAGCCTTTAGAGGCGGACTTAGCTCCGGTGGCGGTTTGTGACGGGGACGATCCCCCGCCCCGTTGCAGGAGGCCTCAGCGCTTCGCAAGGCCGGGGGGCTTAGGCTGTGCCCCGCGGCCGTCACCATGGTAACAGCCCCAGCCATTCCCCAGAACTACAAAACCCATCGGCCCTTGCGGCCCGCTCCCGCCCAACGCGCATGCGCGTTGTCCTCCGGCCGGCCGTGATTGGCCGGGCGGAGGGAGCCAATAAGGAGCGGCGTTGTTGGGAGGACGGTGTTGTCAGGACGGGCCGAGGACGATGGCGGCGCTGGGCCGCTTCTGGCCGCGGGCTGCTGGCGGCAGGTAACGGCGGCCGCCGCCTGCCCGGGGGGGCTGAGGGCGGGCGGGGTGTGGTGTTACCCCCGGCGGGGCAGCGGGGGGCGCTGGGCCGGGGGAGAGACACGGCAAGGGCAGTTCCTGGCTGCAAACAAGCCCTTTATTTTCCTGTCAGCTGCTGCACCAACCTCTTTCTTCTCACCTCTCTTGTTTTTTTTTTTCCATTTTCCCAAAGAATTTTTCTACTGCAGCAAGCTACTACCGCCTGGACTTTCCGGCACCGAACAGTTTCTGTCCTCTCAAGCTCCCAGGAGCTGCATCTCAGAAGCCGTTTTGCCTTCAAGCCTGTGGATGTCTGCCCTGGCCCAGTGTCTTGCTGGAACCACCAGCAGATCCGCACAAAAGCGCGTGGAAATGAGTATCAGCCCAACAATCGCAAGCGCAAACGGACCCACGGCTGGATCAAGCGCATCAGCACACCGGCCGGCATCGAGGTCATCCTCCGGCGGATGTTGAAGGGCAGGAAGTCTCTGAGCCACTGAGGGCTCTGCCTGCGAGGTCGGTTTCATGTCGGGCAAGCCCGAATTGAGCCCTTAGAGCTGCTGCTGTGGCTTTGGAGTGACCCAGCCTGGGCATCCGTGCTGAGGGAGGCTGTGCCGAGCAGCAGCAACCGACCGTCCCTCTCCTGCTGGGAGCATGTGAGGAATCATGCTGGTTTGAGGGTGGCCTCCCAAAGGCTTTGTTTAACGGCTGCACTTTAAATTGTAAAATTATTGCCACTTCGTATGTGTGATTCAGAGATAAACTTGTGAAAATGTGAGCTGTAATTAAAGCCCGGTGCCTCCCCTTGAACTTGCTGTGTGAAACTTAACAGGGGGAGGGAAGCTGGCTCGTTCACGGGGTTGCAGCTGCGGGGGAGCCTGCGGAAGGACGGCACGGGCGTGGGATTAGGGCTGAGGGTGGAGGGAATTTGGGGTTTAGTTCCTGCCGGCAGCGCCTCTACCCGCTCCGTGCCTCCAGCCCCCTGAGGGTGTTGGGGACCTGAATCTCAGCTGCGGCTCTGGGCTCGGGGTGGGGTGCAGGGGAGGAATTTCCTTCTCCTGGCACCTGTTCTCCCAGCGCTGCTCATTAAAACTGCCTCTCTCGTGCCGTAATGAGCAGCGCGTTCAATAACGAGGGCCAAGGGTAATCGATGACCGGACTACAGCTCCCAGCATGCCCCGCGGCCGGCGCTACATCCGGGTCCTTCCCCCC